ATTATATTCTTGGCAATGACACAAGCTTCCTGCATGACTTAGGTCTAGCTGAAGGCTAACCTCTGGGTGCCTCAGTTTCCTCACCACATTTTTGGGGACAATGCTTACTTCATTTCCTAGGCAGTGCTGGCATACTGAGTTGGCTTACTGCACTTCAATGATATGATACACTAATCCTCTGCAATTTTTCAACAGAAGGGTAAAATCAGACTCCTCGGGTTTGAATCTATGGCTTGCATAATGGGAAGAAAGCAGGGAGGAATTTACTGGAATAATATGTTGGGCTCTGTCCCCAGAAGCACAGAATCACCGTGTGTCAGCCCTGAAATGTCATATAAACAGTGCTTTGAAACTCCTGTAAATGGTTTCCTGACTTTGTTAAAGGAAGTGGGCTGTCTACTTAAATCTCTTGTCTGGGTCACGGTGACTAAACCTTACTTGCAGCATGCCTTTTTAAAGGTTTGGGTTTGTTTTAAATTGGAAATGTTCCCATAAGCCTCGACAAATAACAAGGGTGTAGAACATAATATACATCCTTTGATCCATGGAAATGCAGAGATGTCTCACTAGTAGACGTGTCCCAGTTCACCTGTACACTAATCCGGTAATGCTGACAGGAGTTAGGGAACTAAGTCTGTTGTGTAATACTGCAAATGTTAGTCATAATTGCTTGTAAAAATTGCTAGGAAAAAAAAGTTGTGGGAATTATGAGAATTTGAATCACATTCAGCTGTAAGTGTCCTGGCTTCAAACTCCCGAGATCCCCTGAATCCTTTAGGGTTGGACTCGATGATCTTTGAGGTCTCTTCCAACCCAGTTGATTCTATGATTCTAAATTCTCTTTGTCTTGCACCCATTGCAACCCCCTGGATCTCTCAGTCCAATTCAGAAATCATTAGCTAATTGCTAAAGGGAAAACAAAAACCTGTATTAAGGCATTTATTCATGGTAGGTTCCAAACGTGTATTCTGCAGCCCCTCCAGAGACACATAGATGTCTGTATAACCGTTCACCATGCCATGTGTTGTTGTTTGCATAAGCTTAATTGAACACACTCATACAGAATACTATTATTCTGATATACTAAGCTACACTACATGTGATTAAAAAATAACAATGTGTCCTGGGAACAGTTAGCAAAACTACCAGAATGCAGATAAAAATTGTCTTATTAAAATGCAAAAGTTGGCATTTATCTTTCCTGTTATCCCTATGGGGGCTATTACATGCAGTAATGAAAAGATGTCCCTTGAAATGGCATTACTTTTTAATGAGGCTTTTACCCATTGAGTCCATAGTCTTCGTTTTACTAATTGCAAGAAGAAATGGCTTCCTAAACCCTCTAACTGCTCAGTATGAGCAGCTTCTAAAGATGAGCCTTCCCGGTTGTACTCAGACTTGGGCAATTCAGCAAGTGTTGGGCTACAGCTAAGTTAAGGTTGGGGGTTGTCTACAAGCCAAGCATGTGAAGACCTAGCAAAGTCATCAGAGTGTCTGTTCCTGGCCAGGTCTGTGACATATTCCGTAGTGCTTTAGTTGTTTACAATCCTTTGGTTAAACAAAAAGCAGCTAGTACATGATTACTTGCCCCATGGACACCACTGTGTTTTCCTTCTACTCTGGCACTTGTCTTCATGCAGGGTGCAAAGAGCCAGACACTAACTGCTGGCTCTGGGCCCTATCCCCATCTGACTCACTTGCTCTATCCTATACTCAGTGGTACTTGGAAAACCACACAGTGCAGGGACTGCACTCTTGTATTTCAGTAAAATCCTGGCTTTTCCCTTCATCTGGCTAATTACTCATATCCTCCTGACCTTTTGACCAACTAACCATTTTTGGTTAAAGCAGTTTGGCAAATGTGATCCATTATCATGGCCACTGCTGCTTCTACTAGCATTCAGGGCTTTGCTACACATTTGACACGGGAACTACTTTGTTCTGCAACAGAGGGGAACATCTATTTCTGCAAACTGTCACTCAGGAAGCTGCTTAAGACTTGACAGCACTGAGATTATTTTTATGATAAAATACTAAATCATTGCCAACACAAAGGTGAATGGTTCAGACTGTCAGTCCAAAGTCTCATAGCACGCTCCGAAATATGAGGTTCAGGGGGCCAAAAGGGAGCTAACAAAGCATTATTAAAGTTATAAAATTAAGTAATCTAAAGCAAGGAAATTCCAAGATGAATTGGCCCCCACCAGCTCCATGCCTCCCTTTCCTTTTCTAAATTCAATTTATCTATTCTTGTCCTTATGCCCCAGGCGATTTCATCTCTGCATTTTATGCTGGCGGCTTTCTCTCAGGTACTGAATATCAAAAGAGAGAGGAGAGAAGAGAAAGATGCTGATGGCTCCTTGGTTTTGTGTCAAAGCTAAAACTGTGGGAACCTTCTCAGGTCCATAAAGGAACACCCCATGGTGACGTTAAACTGAGAAGCTGGAGTAAGACTTTCCTGATAATGTGTGATACAGTTTTTCAGAGCTTAGTCATTTTGAGACAGATTTTCATAGCCACCTCTGTTATTTGCAAAGGCACTGCATCTAAATCTGCAGACACTGAAACTTCTTTTTTAAACTTTTCTTGGAAATTGCTACAAGGTTCCATAGAGCAAAATGCAGCCTGAGTCAGATAGCATGGAAACTATCATCACTTATGATTGATGTTTGGCAAGACTACAAATAGCAGAGTCCAGGTCTCTGTGTGAGTCCATCTTAATAGATGGGTAAATCAAACCATCCTATATGATAAATTGTCATAACTTCCATTTCACAGGTTGAAAGCCTCTGATGTTTGTGGGAGACGGGTTGGCAATAGAGCTCTTTACCAATGAGCATGATATGCAGAGGTTCCCCAAGGTTGTGCAATAGCTGCTGGTGGATCTGGGATGGTATTTGGGAGGGCTGACCTCAGATTTCTCCTATAACCACAAACTGTCCTTGATTTTGCTTGGCTCAATAATGCTTCCTCTATCTCATCTCCCTCTGACTTCTCTTCCCCTTCTACTCTTTCTTTGGCACCCCTTCTCACAATATTTTGGCCTTTACCCTTCTACTTTCACGTGATATCTGACTGAGAGTTTAGCCCAGTTTGGTTGCCTTAGAAGACAGGTATGGTTCCCATTCCAGGAGACTGGGCATGTATTCCTTGCCCACTGTCACCCTCTTCACCTCACAGTTCTTGACTTTTGATTGACCTCAGGAGAAAAAAGGAGTCAGACTGAGTTGATTTCTTGGTGGCTGTGGGAGGAAGATCTGGAGGCCGGGTCCTGTGTCTGTGGGACTTGTTTATGTCACATTTCACATGGTATAGGACAGTAACATTTTATATAACTGTAATCTCTGGTTAGTGACATCTGGCAGTTCCATGATTGGATTGCATCATATTTATGTTGCCTCAGGCAAGTCTTAATTATGAACATTTTGATTTTTCCACCAGTTTTCCCAGGAAGTTCACCATGCCCACATCAATCAGAGCTGAATTATTTAAGCTCTTTCACAAATGTGCTTTTTTGGTTAGATTGAATGTGTCTGTGTTGGATGTGAAGTTTTCCAGTGTGACTTCATTTCCTACTAGGAAACAAGTACAAGGGTTCGAGGTGTGTCCCACAGCCCAGTGGAGGGACTGCAGCTCTGGGCAGCAGCTCTTTGCAAGCAGGCCTGGCAGCTGGGTTGGGGCTGGCAGCAAGGGCAGGGGGTGGGCACCGTGAGGGGTGCAGGGAAGGGAGCACCTATCACCCAGAAGAGATCCATCCCTGGAAAGGGAGAGGTCCCTGTTATTCCCTCCCCTTCAGCAGTGTCTCATGAGCACCGGGAGTACTTGCATACAGACTGCTGGGGACACAGGCAGCAGAATTGCTGGCATAGGTGACCCTCCGTGGTCTTGTAAACCTCAAGAACATTAAAGCTGCAAGCTGAGAAACCCCAGTAACTTGCTGGGACTGAGCTGGAGATAATAAACCCCTAAAAACCGACGTTGCAGGCCTGGTCAGGTGTTTTGTCACCAGCTTTCCAGGCAGCAGAAAAGCAGGGCAGAGCCATGTAAACTGGCTGTCCTATCCAGGCCACAGACCATACACAAGCTGAAACATTCTCTACTCATCGCTCCCTAGAAGCAATGCAGCTGCATTTGACAGGGTGCCATGCCAGCATTAATGCTCCCCCCCAAAGCCAGCTGGCTGGTTTTTGGTGTCTGCATGTCTTTGGCATAGGCAATCCACAACTCGCAGATAGCTGGGAGCCCGTTGCATTGTGAAATTGCTTTTCTTCCTACTTCCTTCCAGAGGAATTGGCAGGAGCGCCTACAAACCCTCCTGAGCCTGACAGCAAAGGCTGAAATTTTCAGTCTGAGTGGGTTCTGACTTGTCACTTTGAGCTAATGGAAAAAAAATACATGCAGTTTGGTAAGCCAGGTAGATGCTGAGCCTCCAACCTTTGTCTCCTTGTTAGTTTTGCCTCAGAAAAGTTGTGGCAGCAAAGCAGGGTGGGGATTCCCTCTTGCTTTACCCAAATGTGTCCCAGTGGGATGAAGATCTGGACTTCCAGGTCTTTTATCAAACCAGCAAACGTAGCCAGGATAGCAAGCCCAAACTTTCAGAAGTCAGAAGCCAAGCTCCAAAACATCACAGGACCTACTTAAACCCACAGGGTGTTTCTCAGATGTTTCCTCTGGGCACTGAGGTTTTATTCCATTTTCAAGTGGAAACCAAGAGAAACATACTCTTTCTAAAAAATCCTAAAAATATTTCACATGAGCGCTAGATTCCAAAAAGATTAAGAATAAAACTTAGAGTCATGAAGGCTTTCATCTCTCATAAAACTCTGGAAATAACTTATTTTAATTTCAAACCTCTCTAAGCTATAAAAGGAAGATTTTTGGGTAAGCGACTCTGACTCATTCTAACACATTTTCTCTTCATTCATGCATTCTTTTGACTCAGACTAAAAGACTTGGATTGCAAAGCCTTATGTGTGTGTGTTCTTTTTTTTATTTCACAGCTTTTTTTGGGAAATACCTCAATGAATACAATGGCAGCTACATCCCTCCTGGGTGGAGAGAGTGGGTTGGATTAGTGAAGAACTCTCGCTTCTATAATTACACCATTTCTCGCAATGGTAACAAAGAGAAGCATGGATTTGATTATGCAAAGGTATTTTCCAGACACATAAATGCCACATGATTACTACATATAAAAATAGCTTTCAGATAATTAATTAACCAGATAATTAATTAATTAACCAACTAAAACCACGAAATTGAGATGTCATTTTCTCTCCAGGGCATTGCAGATTGGTTTCCATGTAAGAATATTAATCACCCAACAGAAGAAAGTTTCCCAGCGCTCTTCAGCAGAGCCTGGTGATTCCTCTTTCTCGTCCTCCTTTCCTCCCTCCCTCCCTCCTTCTCTCTGCTAGAAAGTGATGGTTTGGTGGCAGAAGAAAACAGTAAACAGATAAAAGCCATTCCCTAAAATAATTTTACCCCTTGCACTACTGAACTTTAAATATTGCTGAGTGTTATCAGTTATTACCCATGGAAGAAACCTTGGTTAATGTTGCTTTCCATTATACAGTGCACACCAAAGAAAGGCTGTACACCTGTGGTGTCAGACTCCAGATATGACTATGTGAATAGATAAGCACAAGAGCACGGCCATTGGAAAAGTTCAGAGCTTGTTTGTGCTCTTGACAAAGTGTGGAAAATATGCCAAGGTGATCTGTCCACTGCCACGAAGTTTCTCAGAAAGGCTTAGGAACCCAGATCATAGACTTTCCAGTCTGCAGAAAGCAATCTGGAATTTCCTCAGACTGTAGCACAAGGAAGATAATACAGATGTTGCAGCTGTGGTTTCTGACCCATGTAATGAGATTTTATTGGAAGCTCACGATGCCTGTTTCTGATTTTCCCATCCATAGAAATTACATGATACTGATTATATATTTATATAGAGTTAAAAAAAAAGAAAATAAAGAATATTGGTTAGTTATACATTCCTTACATACCCTGTGTATGTAGCTAGAATGAACAGGGAAACAGGAGAGTAGATGCTTTGGAAGTGCAGTCGTACAGGCATTTCACTTAAACAGGCCACAAACCCAGAAATTATCACAACCTTGATGCCTCTCACTCATTATCCATTTTGGAAACTAAAAGATCACTCACTGTCTCTTCCATATGCTGGCAGGGTTTGTAGCAGCCAGGGCTACCGTGTGTGCGCCAAGTGTGCTATAGGAGAGGGGAAGGGGCAGAGGGACAGGGAGCGGGTGAGTGAGAAGGTCACAGCTGGTTGGCTTGTCCTAGCACTGACATGCGACACAGACCTTGTCCCTCAGGCTCTGCTTTTGCAGCTGTTCAGGGCCTCGAATCCACAACATAAGATTAGTCATGCCTGGAAGTGCTTGAAATTACAAACGTTGTCTCAGCACTTTCTCAATGAAGCTCACACTAGACCTCCAGGCCAACAGTGAATACTGCAAGGTGGCAGGTGGTTTAATTTAAGTTTTCATCTTTTTTTCTTAGTTCTGTTTCCTCCCTTCCCCTTGTAGGCTTCCATTTGCCACCTTAGCTGTGGGTTAAGCCAGTTTATTAGCAAGTCACAACCTTAATCTCAGCAGCTGCACTGCTTAAAGTTGCACAATTAAATGAACAGAGCCCGCAGGAATTCAACTGCTCCCTGCATTCTCATTTGCAATTTCTTTGATAAAGATTTTTTGAAATCTGTTGCCTGTTGTAGCTTTCTTCCACTTTGTACATATGCAAAAATATAGTCTGACCAAAGCGTGTGCAAGAAATGTTTATGTAAACATAAAACCAGCATAAGAGTCAATGTTAGTTGGGAGCCATTACCTTGTGAAGTGTATTATCAACGAAATTCAAGAAACATATCTTTGTCAGTACAGTCTGTCATTTTAAATGTTACTTAGCATTATATTACAAAATCTGGTAATTAGATTTACTTAATGCCTTCTGTTGTATCTGATTTGCAAAATACTGTCTCATTTTATGTGGCATTGCCTGCTTAAGAAAGTAATTACTGCTTGGTCTCCCCTATGCTCCCTTAAATCATGCTCCTCTTTGATGGTATGTTTTTACTTCCTGATCTGAGCTTTAATGAGGACTTGAAAATAACATAATAACATGATAGTATGTGATCTAATTAATCATGCACTTTGTAACTTTTGCTTTGTGTTAATCATATGTTCCAGGACTACTTCACAGACCTAATCACTAATGAGAGCATTAATTACTTCAGAATGTCTAAGAGGATATATCCCCATAGGCCCATAATGATGGTCATCAGCCATGCCGCGCCCCATGGCCCCGAGGATTCTGCTCCGCAGTTCTCAGAGCTTTACCCCAATGCTTCACAGCATATGTAAGTCAAAATCACACACTGCCAGACCCACTCCTTGTGTGTACTTCTGTGAGGTATTTGTTTATGGAGACATCACAAGAACAGAGAATTCAAATTTAAGAAATAGTAAGCAGTGAATGTTTGCTTGTTTCTTTTGCTGCGCTAGCTCCTTTTGCAGGGGAGAGTGACAGCTCTGACCATTATTAAAGCAGGGAGAAGGTCTTTTCCTCCTGGGAAGTTGTGGGAGATTAAAAGGTCAGTATTTGGCTTTGTAAGGGCAGCTTCTTACAATACCCTGAAAATATGTAGACACAGGTCAGGATCTGTTGGAAAGATATTACTTCCTTCGCTTTCCTCTAAGATATGCACTTCCTGGGCTCTAACTAAATGCATTGAGAGTAAAAACACCCTTTTGAAGCTCTTGAGTGCACCAGATTTGTTTATAGACTAGATACTGGCAGGTTCCCAAAATATCCTATTACACTGCATTTTTAAATAACATGCTTAATTTTTTCTGGTGATAAAGCTATAATACAAAAAGAACTCTTCAGTTTGTTTCTAGAACTGAATCCAACTCCAGGTAAAAATCTGTGGATCGTCCTGGATTCCACATCTTGCTTCATTCCTTGAATATTCTGGGTCATTTTCCTCATAGTGAGATGCTATGGAAGCTTTCCATGCCACTTGTGTCTACCATGGGCTACCTTTTGTTTTTACACAATGTCTTTGCACATCTTTCCACACAGAAACAATACAAGCCCCGAACACCTTCATAAAGTATTTCAGCTAGATTTTACATTGATTTGTTCTCTCAAAATGAGGAGAAATCAGCTTTATCAGACAGTGAGAAAGCTTCTTGGTCTACAGATTGCATTTTGGACACTCTGTAGTATCTCATACCCAAGGATGTTTCTTGTAGTTACATTAACTGCTTTAAAATTGCAAGGAGTAGCAGTTACTGCGTAAGCTGCATGCATAAACTGATCACTAGTTGAGGCCAGAAAAAGATGCGCTGTTCATGGCACATGGTTAAATACTTACCGGTTAGTATTTTTTTATCTTCTTACTGGGTGCTACTTTCTAGATATGCCAGTTTCCCTGACCTTGCAATCATATATTCTCAAGAAGCCCACATTCCCAAGACTAGACTTTGCAAGTGGTGCAAATCAATCTGCAGTTTTGTAGTTATTTATATATGCAGAGTAATTTCTGTCTTTATAGAGAACTAATGAAATTGAGACTTTAGTTGCTAAATAAGATAGACATGAACACATAAAACTTGTCATACTGGGTCGTATGAAAGAAATTTCTAAGTCAGTATCCTGAATTATGTGCTCCAACAGAAAGCAGCAGGGAATGCTTAGGGAGGGAAAACAGAAAAGCAAACCACACACACACAAAAAAACCCCAACACAACAAAACAAAAAACCCAGCAAGAACAAAAAAACAACCAAACCATGAGATTCCTTGCTCCTGAAAATCCAAAACATCCAGGTCAGTGTGCCCCATTCTTTTTGCATTGGTCTGATCTTTCTTTGAACTCTGGTGGCAGTCCCACCATCTCGTGACAAGTTCCACAGTGTTCACTCCGTGTGCTAGGTATAAAGGACAGACTTTTATTTCCTTCCAAACCTGGAGCTTTGTTATGCCGCCTGTGTCCCTTTCTTCCCATCCAGTGAAGAATAGTGAATAGTCACTAGATCAAATTTAATGGATCTGTCCCACGTCTCCTTTCAATCACCGTTTTTCATAGGAAGAGAATTAAATCTATTTGTTCTCTACCCGTTCAACAGATTGCTTTCCCCTTTAGTGGCACAGACTGCCTGGCCTCAGGCAAGCCATCCTGTCTGCTGGGTGACTATCCATCATACAGGAGGATAGGATTCAAACTGTTTCCGCTTAGCTGTAGGGACCATGTCTGGAAGAAAAGTACTGAATCATTGTATCTCACCCTACCTCTCCCCAGGCCAAAGCAGCTCATTTTAGGCTCCTTGCTCATTGTCTTCTGATAAGTGCTTGTAGGAACTTGCTTTGGTTTATCATGCTCTTGACACTTTCTACTGCTTGGTGTTTTCAGCATACTTGTTTTCTAGCTTGTGCTGCTAGAACAAATGGGTTTAGTTAGTTTCCAAATTTTTAACCACCTCTTCACCTTATGCAGGTTGCAATTTACACATTACTTGTGTAAATGAATTTTTATTTATGTAGACTCATGGGGTCAATATACCTAGTTCTGTTAGGCTACTTGTAAGAGCGCTCAGCTGTGCTTCTTCTTTTCTTCTGGTGTTGTTGATTTCTTGTCAACCTTCTTGCAAAGAGTTTTTTCTCTAGTGACCTCAGGAGATTCTTGCTGAGTTGTTTTGTGTAGCTTATTGCACTGACTGATTGCATGCATTAAAGTTCAGCCTGCACACTAAGAAATGAGACAAATTGAAGATCAGCTGCCAATTTAGGTGACTGAAGATTCCAAACAACTGATTTTTCTACCAAAAATATTAGCAATGTGCTTGAAAAAATGTAAGGTCAGTTCTCACAGAAATATTTGGTGCTCCCTGTGAAAACCACACAAGAACAATAAAATCCCTCCTGCCAAGGTTTGTGTAATTTGAACATTTAACCCTTAGGTTTTCTTCTTTGGTGGTCAAGCATCATTTAAATCTCTTTCTTTCTGACCTTGGGTGACAGCCATCTGACCTTGGATTTTGTTTTTAAAAATGTAGTTGCTATATCATGTTACTGTAACGCCTACCTCCAACAAAGAAGGGAAACCAGGTCAAAAGCTGCTTGCTGGCTTAACAAACTGAGATGGAAGGTTATACCTACAAACCAAGGATTAAGACAGCCTGTCAACCACATGTGAGGGGAAGTTTTGCTTAAAAGAACAGTAGCTGAAGTAGACTTAAATTACGTGATGTCTTTTTGCTAGTAAAGTGGCTGTCATTGATTGAAATGCTGCTTTTATAAATTAAAAACAAAACAAAACAGCCCAAAAGTTTGTTTAGAAGTTTTCCACCGGCATGTATGAAGAAAGGAGAGGCTATGGCAAGAAATACTCCAGTTCAGGGAGAGTTCTGCCCTCAACAATGGGCATCTGTTGGTCTCATTTCCTCACTTATCAACATGGAAAGAAGAAAATCAGATGAATGCAGCAGCAAAGTCCATAAGATTTATGAAAAATTTATCAAAGCTGAAAAGAAAATGAAGAATTACATAGCATCATTATATTACAGCCCTGTCCTCCTCAGCACAAACAGCCCATTGGAGTGGCATATAAAGTCTTACAAGGACAAGAATAATAATGATGTGTACACTGTTTAATCTATAATATTAAGTGATTCCTGTTAATTCTCATTAGCTCTAGTTTAACATGAAGCCCAAACTATACCATGCTGGAAGCAGCAGACACTCTATTGTTTATAACCATCCATTCTCCCTCCCACTCTTCCACTTCTCTTCTCCTTAAAATATGTCCTACTTCTGACATGTAAAAATATCTCTGAAAGTTTATCCTGGCTGTTTTCACCATAATGAGTGATATATTTTCTGAAAATAAATCATACTAATGCATGTACTATAGCTAAGCCCAGAAATTATTTCCGTGGAAGAAAATGGATCTGGAGAAGATGTACTAGATGAAAGCAATACATGGGTTTTTGCTGCGCTATCGAACATCATCTCTTAGGGAGCAGGGCTGCTAGGCCTTTGGAAATGCTGTTATTAAATATGAAGTTTTGCCACAAGAGATTACTGTCTAGGTGTCCCTGGCAGCTGTTACAGGACAATCTTGTTCCATTAGATAGCTGAGAAGAAAAGCTCTGACTCAAAGGATGCTCTAATGAAAGCCTGAAATCTCAGTTATGCTCAGGGCCTCTGGCACTTTAACTTTCCTTTACCTTCCAGTGAGAACCAGTCTTAGGGGAACTGTGAATCAGAACTAAGCTGTTTATAAGCTGTGAAGTAAACAAACATTAGAAGCAAAAATCTGCAGGAGGCAAGTTTACTGAAGAATGTAAAAACTGGAAATCTGAAACACTGCTGGCTGTGCTGAGTTAAAGATGCTTGGGTTGGCAGGAGGACTGACAGCCAGATTTTATGATTACCTGGAAGCAATCCTATTGTCAAGCTAGAGATCTTAGGAGGAGCGGATAGAAATGGTATCTTGGAAGAGATCAGAAACCTTCCCAAGCTAATGTCAGAAAAGGTAGATGAAAGGTTATGAAAGGTAGATCTTTATATTTCTATTTAAAGATCATATGAAAGGTGCTGATAGAACAGGTGTGGGGGTAGCAGTGTGTCTGTGGTAGTGAAGCATGAAGAGAAATGAACCTCTGGATCCCCAGAGCAGTCTTAACTGTGAGTTTGGGGTGTGAGGTCGCTGCACCTCGAGTCACTGAGGCCAAGTCTCAAAGATCTGGCAGTTGCAGTCGTACTTTTTGCAGTGTGGAACATTGGACTATTAGAGTGGAATCATACATTTGCATCACTAATAAATCTTGGCATGTTGGTGTATCGTGTCACTGCTGGCCTCAGGCCTGCTTGGACTCCTGACTTAGAGATAAATCATCAAAATCATCACACACATCATTGGGAGTGTGACTTTAAACAAGACTAGAAGAAATGGTGTGAAATAGAAATGCAGTAATATTCTGGTTGCACAATTAAATCCTGCAGCAGCAACAAGTAATGTTTCCTAAAATAAAAAGGTGTTATATTTAACAGGTAACAACTTTTTTGCTTCTTTATTCTCAGATATTGCAGTTGTGTTACACTTCAGGAATGAAACTTTCATAGCTCACATCCCCAGATCTATAAAAGATTCTCCTTTTAGAAGGCAGCAAAAGTAGACCCAGAATGGTGAAATTCAACTTCATGTTAATGCTGACCATGACCACTGATCATGTTGATTTGGGTTTTTTACTTTTAATTTTGCCCAGAAGCTAGGCTTCCTCCATTCCAAGACCAGTGTCTAAGCCTGGAAATCTACTTTCCCTGGAAAAAAAGAATTTGCTTCCTTTGTTTACTTACACTTTTTCTGAAAAAACATGACCACTTAGGTCATGTTTGCTAATCATATTTCAAAGAATAATAGAGGTGTTAATTCTGTACAGAAACTATTCATTTTTATCAACTAGTCTTACCATAGCTATTATTTTTAAATGTTGTTGACTTTCATTTTTATGAAATGAAAATGTTCCTGGGGCATCTAAGTACTGTATTATTTTCTCTAACTGGAGGACTCCCAATCCAAACAGAAGATTAGTCAAACACTTTTGAGATAAAAACCCCTGAGAACTCTATGGATTTATTTAAAACCAACATTTTTAGGTATTATTTTTGTGAACATAATTTTCTTTTCTTGAGTAGAAACAGGAGGGAATTAGGAGATTGTAAATAGAGGCAAACACAGATTTTTACTGTGAGCAATTGAACAAATGTTTGTAAATGTGTTTGTTTCTTTGCACATTAACCCATCTGTTACAGACATGTATATGTTTAATCAACTTCTTAGAAAACAAATGTTAATTTAAAGTTGTACTGGATTCTGGAAGCTTTTCAAACATGCTGTACTCTGGTTTTTTTCTTTTTCACACAGATACCACAACTGTGTAAACAGCATTAGTCAAGCTGAATCTCCCATGCTTTTCTTCAACTCTAAAATATCTTTTTGTAATAATGGTTTGCAGAAGGGCTATATTCTATTTATTTAATTGACTACCACAATTCAGTTCAGTTACTAGTAGAAGACAGTGAAATTAATTTCTGAAGTGTTTGCTGTTTGAGGATCCCATTTTAATAGATCTTCAAGTACAAGCATCTGTTGTTTTGGGTTGTTGAAGTGTTTGGGTTTTATTGTTTCTTGTCTAACTTATTGTGGTACCTTAAAAGCGAAACAAGATGCAGTCTTTATTTTTAAGTTCAAATTTAAATATATAAATGTAGTAAATATGTTGTTAGAAAGTTACTGAGGCCTTTTGGCCACAAAGGTGACTTGCTAGTACAGCTCCTTTTCTCTCAACATGACTGTAAGTACCTATCTAAACTGATACTTATGACAGATTTTGTGGTGAATCATTCTTTAAAGAGAAAAGTACATTAGTCCTTATTGATATTTACTCCTTTCACAGCCTATAGATCACTTAATTATCACTGTAAATTCCTCTGTGAATTTATTCATATAGGTGAATGATTGCAAAACCTCAGGGTGAATTACTGTTCTTATTATGAGGATGTATTCGTGGGAAAGTGCCTGACTAGGTTCAGCATTTTTTATTGTTATGTATTTGGGATTTTTTTGTTAGTTAAACCAAGGATATCGATTCAAAATTATATGTACCTGATATCTCCCATTGTCCTGCCCAGTGCCAGGACAGATCTGTCATGGAGTGCCAAGTCTCTGTGTATTACATTCTGTGTAGTATGTGTTGGATAAATACAAGTGAGCAACAGGCAACCTAGATTTGCTCAGGTTAGTATATTCTACAAGAATGACAAGTACGACAGTAGCTACTTGACAGACTTAGAGGCCATGGACACCCTGAAAATAACCTGGCACTGTCTGCTGGTCATGGATCAACTAATGTGCTCAACATGAGATGGCCTGCATGACTGAGGCAGTAGAAGACATGGTACATATCTTCAACTTTATACTCCAAGTGCAAAGACAAGTCAAGGAAATGTAGATGTCTGTGTTACTTTGCAGCAGTACTTGTCAATACAGAGCAATGTCATTCCCAAAAATGGAAGAACAGAAACAATGACAGACTGTGCCATGATGACTTTCAAGGGCTTATTACAGTTGAACATTCAGTTGATATTTCCAACTGCTTCAAGAAAAAATGTTGTGATCAACAATTATCACTGACAGGGAAGAGGTCTGTCTACATGGGAAAGTTTTCAGAAATCAATATTCTCCACAGAAAACACCTCTGTAGTGTTTGTTCATTTGTTTTGCAAAAAAAAAGGTAGCTAGATCTGAGGGCAGCATCAAGTCTTGTGCCTGGCAACCAGTGCTGTTCTGGTGGATTTCTGCAAGGCCCGAAAACAGGGATACCCAGAGAACGTAGACAAGCTGTGGGGTTTTGGAATTCCTGTCTGTGCCTTCCCTAGTACTCTTTCTCCTACCCTTTAGACCCCTGTTTCACATTTATCCATCAGCCAGTGACACTGGATATTTCACAGAAGGTCCTGTTCCTTCTGGGCGGAAAATTCTGCTCAATCTCTGCCTGCTGCATTTTTCACCCAGAAAATTCAAAATGCATTTGGAAAGTGTCTGTGAAAGGTTTTAACCGCCCTGCTAAACCCTTGAGTGCTGCTTTTAAAGACCATCCATTATGTGGAGGAGGCTTCTCACAATGTCCTGGGAACATGAGACCTGAGCCTGCTTCAGCAGCTGGCTCTCCTTCCTGGCACAGTGGCAGGCTGTCACGGCACTGCCGGCTGAGCGGAGCTCACAGCCACCTCATCCCTCTGTGGCAGGGGCACTCAGGAGTCCACTGAAAAAAGAGCAGGGTTCTGCTGTAAAATGCTGATTAATCAAAACTGGACTCTTTCATGGGAAAACATTGCATTTGACGAACTTCCAAAGGAACAGAGGAGAGTTTTCACTGGAAGTATTCTTTTCTGTTAATGTGCCTGATAACCGATAGGTGACCGAAACTCCTGAGATTTGCTTCTTGAAGGTCTAGGGCCCCATCACTCCCTCTGCTAGGACTGCTGGCTAGCCAACAAAACAGAGGGCTGTGCTCCTGGGGTAGATTTTATTAATTTTGTGGTAGTATTTATTTTAATAATCAGGCTTCAACCATGGAAAATGACAAAAACTTTGATATTTCAACCTAAAATTAAAGAATTTCCAGCAGAAAAAGAATTCTGGTTTATGCTTCTCTTTGCTTATTAGGGAGCTAACCTTTTCATGCCTCTTGATTTCTATCAAAGGTTCACAAATCCTGTGATACTTTTGTCTCCATTCTGTTTTCCCTCGAGGCTGATGGTCAAGTAGGTTAGTCGCAATTAGCTGTATGCACTGGAGACATAATTCTCATATTCTATCTAAATTCTCAAAAAATGGTCCTCAGTTAAAATGTAGACTCCATTCACTTATTGCAGTTGACTGTCTATTATGTTAACCTTTCAGCTGATTTTTATCTTCGGAATCTATAGTTATAGGTTGGACTTAGAATATCTGATAGTAAAATCAACTGCTTCCACTGTTCTGTGATCACATGCAACCATGTAAAGAAAAATGAAAGCTAAATGAAGGGCTGGTCGAAGGTGTGACTTTAAGTTATCAGTATACAATGTTTTGATATTGTTCAGTGATACCTCTTAAGAAAAGGTAACTGCACATAAATATTTCAGTGGCAAAAATGTACTTTTGGTTAAGGCATGTTATAATTTCCAGTACCTAAAGAGCAAATTACTATTGAATTGCATGAATGTGACTCTGGAGTCAAAGGGCACTGACTGCATTACTTTCTCAGCTGTCTTCTTCAAGGCCACCTCACAGCCTCCTGATGGAGCTGAGCCTGTGCCCAGGCAGTCAGTCCTGGGGGGATTGCACTCAGGGTCCTGGCAATGCCTGCACTCACCTTTGGTGATAAGGAAGGGAAACAAGTTGGTTTTTTCACTCTTCAGGGCATCTTGAAAACTGGTAACACTGGTGGTGGTGTTCTTAGTACTGGCTACTGAATTTCTTTATCCCACAGGAAAATATCTTACTTTGAGTTTTGTTTAAAGGTAATTTCCCTGCTGGAGATGCATCAGGGCAATTTACCTTAATACTAAGAGGAAGTAGTCATCTTTGATCTCTGACTTCCTTAATTTTTCTGCATATCTTCATGGGATGCATCATACAGATAAGCTTTTTTAATAATTACAAATTTGTTTGTGAAATAAATTTTGGCATATCCCAAATATTAGCATGAATCTGGCATTGGTTTTTAAGCCTGAAAGAAAGCTCAGAGAGCAAGCGGTTAACAAAATTTTGAGGAAGTGATGCATGAACCAATGAAGCTTAGAAGCCACTTGAAGTGATGTTTGTTGATATTTGACAGATACCACATGGAATTTGTGATTTAACTGTCTGTTGGCTATTTGTGTGTTAGAGGAGTTCCCACCTTCCTCTGATGCCTGTGATGCTGCACAACTTTTCGGATCTGTTTTCTTCCTGCAGCACTCCCAGCTATAACTATGCACCAAACATGGATAAGCACTGGATTATGCAGTACACGGGGCCCATGCTGCCTATCCACATGGAGTTTACAAATGTCTTGCAGCGCAAAAGGCTTGGCTATTTGTGTGTTAGAGGAGTTCCCACCTTCCTCTGATGCCTGTGATGCTGCACAACTTTTCGGATCTGTTTTCTTCCTGCAGCACTCCCAGCTATAACTATGCACCAAACATGGATAAGCACTGGATTATGCAGTACACGGGGCCCATGCTGCCTATCCACATGGAGTTTACAAATGTCTTGCAGCGCAAAAGGCTTCAGGATGTCAGTT